GCTAACAAATCGCTTATTTCTGTTCCTAGTGAATAAACAAAAAACAATAGTGCTTGCCTAGTTCATTTCTATCATTACAAAACAGTCTTATCCAGTATCCGCCTTGAGTTAGCATTTTTGCCTATATATATATATATATATATATATATATATATATATATACGTATTATATATATATATATATATATATATATATATATATAATATACGTATGGTTGTATAGTGATTAAAGTATTCAAAAAATTACAAAGTAATAAAAAGCCGGAAACATGACGTTTTTGTAGAACAGATCAGAGAACACTTCTTTTTGACAAAAACTGCAAAACAAAAACACTGATAAGATGCTGAATGCTTTTGAATAACTAATTTGATTACCAGCAATGTTATTTTCAACAAGCACTGATAATAAATAGTTCGTCGAATTACTGGAAAACAAAAACTAAGAACTATATTACTCAACTGACTCATGTTCTTTTTTCACCTTTCTCTTTCCTATTCTCCTTTTAGTACGTAAGACGAAAACAAAAACAACGAGACACTAACAACTACGGTAACAGTTTGCCAACACCCAGCGATTATCGGCTGACTTAATAATGCACTTCTGTTACCACAGCTTCTCAAATATTTTGTTGTCAAAAACACGTGAAGATGAGTCTGTTGATATACTGTAATAATTTTACAGTTTCCAATTCCTACCATTAAATTAAGATTTTGAAAAGAAAAAAAGCATCTTTCTATTTGTTTTTGCTTATTTATGTTAGGCATACTGTATCAAAAGTTGGAAAACTGCCAAAAAATCAATAATAAATTTATTTGTCTTTCTAAAGCATCCATGGATTTGTGTATGCTTTATAGAGATGACTAAGATAGAGACGAATGGGTAGAAGATATATAGAGGATAATGAAGAAGTTGGGAGGTAAATAAAAATCCATCAAAAATTTAGTTTTTAATTGAAATTTATGAAATCTAAATAGAGAAGAAACAAACTGCGATCGACATTCCGTAAATAAGTAAGCCAACTAATTTCAGTTGACCAACTTAAACACTATCAATTATTTTCATTCATTTTCGCTTTTACTAGCGTCAAATATGTCTTGTTGGGTGATATGTCGAACATCGAAGAATGAAACAAATAAACTCTGACTTTTTTAAAAGTCAACAGGAAAAAGCTCAAAGTGTGGTTGAGAGTTAAAAAAAGGAAATATAATTCTGTTAGATAAACACAATTAAAAAAAGGAAAACAAAAATGCAACAGTAACCTTGCATGATCAGATACGGTAGAGGCATCGCTTTTCATAGAACACGAAAATTCAACTGACGATGTCGCTGAACTTGGAGGAACACAGTCGTTAGCATTTGTACCGCCTTCACACTAAAAATACTTGTTTCTATTTCTTTTCCCGAAGTCAGGTTACCAGAAAAAGATAAAGAAGCAATTTTCCAGTCTCTATTAAATGCATTTTGAAAGATAAAAGCAAAACAAACAATGTTAAAAAAGCAAAAAGTTTCTGGAAAAATCCTATGTTTCCATTAACCTAAAAATCCTCATAAACCCTTAATCAAACGGAAGCCTATTTATCATCACCACCACCTAATCGTTTTTCGCAGTTTCCTCGAGTATTAACAATAAAAATAGAAACAAATAGCCTGAAAAAATAATACAAAAAGAAAAAAAACAAATTGGTTATTAAATTACTAAAAATTTAACCAGTGCTGACTTTTCAAAAATAAAACAACTACGGTTATAGATTTGCCAATAACTTTTTGTTGTCTTCAAAACTTTCCAGGAATGAAATTTTTTTGAACAGCAAATAAAAACAACTTTCTTTCGACAAATGAAAAATAAAAAAAATAAAAAAAAGTAGGAAGTAAATAACAAGCTTCTAAGCTCCTATTCACTGTTAAAAAAATATATTAAACTCTATGTATACGTATATATATAAACACATTTTATAAATAAAATGTTGACGTTCCCTTTAGTTTTATGTCCCGCCTGGTACGGTAATGTAATTTATGTTTTCCTTCCAAAAAATTGTTATTTTACTTAAAACTTTTGAATTCTGAAAACAAAAACAAGATAGAGCAAACGGGAACCCACAGCTCCTGCTTTCCTTTCCGTTCCTCCTTTTCCCATCCCAAAATCAACAAAAATAGGAAAGAGCTAAGCGAAAGTAGAAACAGATTAAAAATTGAAAAACTTTGCATTTCAATTTGGTTGCTATTTATTGCTGACAGTGTCAGATAGATAAACAAAAAACTTAAGAATAATAACAATAATAAAAATAAAAATAATCCAAGTAATAGTTAGCAATAAACAATAACGATATTAAATAGCAATAAACAATAACGATATTAAATAGCAACAAGGCCGTGTTATCAGTTGACAACAATTGTACCTGTTTAACCGCAACGAATTCCGGGAAAAGATAGCAAAACAAAAAATATACATAATAACCCAACTACCTATTGTTCAATTTTTAGTGACACCCTTACAGCTTTTTTTTTTTAGTGATTTCCATCTAATGGTTTCTTTTGCGTAAGTATGTACGTTTGTTTTTCCCCTGTTTGACAAAATACAAATTTTGAAATCGCTACTGAAATAATATATTAAAGTAGCAAGAGAAAAAAAAAACGAAGAGTTTCTACAAAGTAAATGAAAAAGCAAAAAAAAAAAAAATTTTTTTTGCGAAACTAAGTGTGAAGAAAATTTTTGACACGTTACTGCTGCACTTCTTATGCAACTCTTCAAGACTCCCATATTGACATCTTCATTTAGTGTATCCTGCAAGCTATTGCCTAATTGACCACCCCTGTGTGGCCACCGTGTAAAACTAAAGAAAAAATCCCAACTGATGACCTTAAAATTTGATTTGTCAATTTAACATTCAGAATTTTCAGCTGATTCAGATGACCACTAAACATGCAACTACGGCTGACCGATAAACACGCAGCGAACAACAGAAAAAGATAAAAAAAGAAAAATTTACGTACCTCTTCGGTGGTACTCGGTGATGCATCCCGATCCTTGGAATTGTCGTCGTTCAACTTATCAATCATTCCGGTTCGCAAAAATGAAGCAGACTCTACTCCGTCTTGTTGTTCCTTAAATAAATCGCTAGAAGTGCAAGGTGAAAGCTCTAAGCCACTTTCGCAAACGCCGTCCTCTCGCAGTTCCAACACTTTTATTGGTGCCGCCTTTCGACGACCAGACATACTAAATTATTCGCTTATGTTACATTAAGATTTTACTTTTAAATAGCTGCCGTTATTTGTCACAAGTCATCGAGCCATTTAATAGTAATAGCAGATAAAGAAGGAAAAGAGGAGGAAAAAAAAGATGCAGAAGAAAAAGAGGAGGAAGAAGCATTTTAGTTTCATGTCTTTTTTTTTTTGTGCATTTTCTTCTCATCTGAATTTCCGCTTATCACTATTTTTTTAGTCAAAGTCAGAAGAAAATTGTTTAGATAAAAATATATTTTCTTCTTTTTTCTCAACTCAACAAGTACCAATTCTAAGTAATGCACATAACTTACAAAACAGGCGCCGTTCCTCTCCGGAATTATCTTTACCATCAATGTTTCTTTCCTTACTCCCTCCACCTTATTTCCTTCTTCTTTTCTTATTTTTTCCTACCTCTCAAACAATACTTTAAGACCGAAGCCTAAAGAAAAAAAGCAAAAGCAATGATGAAGCAATAATGCGAATATTAGTAAAATAAAAAAACCCACAGTACTAAATAAAACTAAATTTAAAAAATTGTACTTTCACCAAAAGTGGCAAGTAAACGGCAGGAAAAGAATGTTTGCTATTCAGATCAGCATCAGATATGCAATATCACAGTTACTCATAATTGACCAACAATAGTAAACGAAGTGTGACCATGAAAAAGAAAAAACAGCTAGAATATTAGCAGTAAAAACAACAAAAACAAAAAAAAAACCATTTAAAATTCTTTCACCGTTTTGCTTTCCTACATTTTTTTCTCTGCAAATTTATGTGAAAATAAAATTATGTTTTTTCATAGAAAGTTTGAAAAAATATAATTCTAAAAATTAGGTAATAAAACGTATTCACACGTAACTGTTAACATCCATCTGAAATAATTTGTTAAGATCAAAAACTGAAACAGAAATTCCTCCAATACAACAATCAACCATTTCTAAAGGTCATAAAAGTGAAACAAATAAACAGGGAAAAAAACTCAAGACGAGAAGAGATTCCAATAATAGCAACGATGACGAAATCCTAATGCTAACAAGTGTTTTCACTAACAGCGTAGTTCCCGTTTCACCACTCAGTATTCGTCGTCAGCCTCACTCTCCTACCATTGCCTGACGACGATGATAACAATGATGACGACGACAACGGTTATTATAATGATGATGATGATGATTATGATGATGCTGGTAGTGGTGGTGGTGACGGCGGTTCTGCCGGGTGGTGATAGTGGCAACAACAACGACAACGATGACAACCACGGTGCTGATGACGATGAGCATCTTCGCTATATGTATTTATATTCCCATTTATGTAGGTCAGTATTTACTTCTAAAATTCCTTGAAAATGTTTTTCATTTCTGAACCAACAAAAAAAAAAAACAGAGGTAGGAAAAACAGTGGAAACGTCGTTTTCTCCTCCCTCTTCTCCTTTTTTCCCCCTTTTTGCTCTGCTTTAATATCATCCTCTTCCTTTCTCCTATCTTTTTTCCTTGTTTTTCTGACTTCTAATGATTCTAATAAGTGACAGTAGATAAACTGGACTAGACACGAGTAGTAGCTTTCACAAATCAAGGGTAACAATTAAGGAAAAATAATGGAACGTTCATCATCAAATGATAATCGTGTGTCATCTTAAAGGTGTTAAAAAGGAAACTATTGCTTAATTAAATGCATTAACTTAATGGTGCTGCTTTTTAAGGTAAAACGAAGCAATCGGAAATGGCATAAAGAAAAGCAAATCAAAATCAAAATCGCAAATAGTGAAAAAGAAGGAAAAAACTTTTATAAATCCAACAGATACTGTAGATAAAAAAAAATTAAAAATCTACTTTTTTCTATTTTTTTCAACCTGTGTGTTTGAATGCGTGTGTTGTTAACAATTAAGTAAAACTACAGGTCAAATAATGACTATATGATAAGCAACATCTATAAAAGTTATGATGAAAATAACGCAGAAAAAAAGAAGGAATTAAAGCAGACTAAAAGTCTGTTACCGCTGCCGCTGATGCTGTTGCTGCAAAAAAAGAAGTCTCGACACAATTAAAAAATCAGTTATATGTTCAGTTTACCCTTCTTTCCACTTCTTCCAATCTTTCTTCCCTTCTTTTTTTTATTTTTTAGCCAAATCTGATTACTCCAACAAAGCACAAATCTATAAACATACATTAAAAGTCGTCTTTTCTTTTTTTCCCCTCCTTTGCTTACTAAAGTCTAATCGGTTAATGGTACTTCAAATAAACATAATACAACCCTCTCCCTCTTAAAAAACCTCCTATTTTGATTATAATTTTTATTATTACATCATCATCAGCAACATAATCAGCAACACCATCACCATGGAACAGCAACAAAAAGAAAAGTAAGAACGAGGAAAATACCATATACTGCTGGTAGACTTACTGTCGACAGGAACTGAGAAATGTGTCGACGACAACATCGGTCACGACAAGGACGACGACCACGATGGCGATCAGGATGGCCACGATGATGAATAAGTGACAAATTAGATGAAAAACACGAGGAACAGATTTTGTGAGCAGCTTTTATATACTCCTCCAGTTACCATCACCACCTTCTATACCACCAGCACTTCCAGCCCCAGAACAACGCACGGCGACATATGGGCGTTGACTTTGTTGTAAGACAGTCTCTGCGGGTACGAAACGGGGACTGTGATAAGCGTTGCTTAGGCAATTTTCCCACAATACGTAATGATAACATATCATCGCTTCTATTTATCACTACCAAATAGACCCGTTACAGAGGAAAAATAACAGAAAAAAGGTTCTTCTTTTTTTTTTTTTGCTCCTTGTTCCTCCTTTGTTTTTTTGGAGTCCAAAATATGTTTTGACCTTTTTATTCGCTCTAATTATGATTAATATTATGATTCATTTCTTTAGCACATAATATACAGCAATGTTTGTCTTTTTTTTTTCCTTTTAACCATAGTTTCGTTGCATTATCAATGTTGACACCTTTGCAACAACAACAACAGCAGCAACATCAATAGCAACAGCAGTGGCAGCAGCAATAGTGACATATATGCAATTGCAAAACAGAATAAATAATACGAAAATTGCCATTAATTCAGTAAAATCCTAACAAGAAATGTGAAAAAAAAAAAAAGCACTGGATTATTGAGAATAAAATTACGCCAAAGTTAATAGAGCAACACACGATGTCTGCAATGTTTTCTTTTCTTTTACAATTTTTTTTCTGCTATTTGTTCGCAAAACAATACAAATTTCTAACACTAACACAATATCTTTGCAGATAACTATTAAGCAAGAAAAATGGCAACAACATCAGTAGCAAAAAGTGGTTATTTGGTGTTAAATGATGACGACATAAATAAAAAAAAAACGAAAAGAAGAAGAAACCAAAATCTGCATCATTGGAAACATCTTAACGGTAAACTTTACCGATAAAGGAACAGAAAAAATAAAGGGTATATGCAGTCACATCATTGACCTACCAAATCATAATGCTTTTTTTTTTATTTTGAAGCTTAGGCTGCTTAAAGGGCGCATGTCGACGAGATCAATTGATAACAAAAGCAACATAACTAGTCATTTTTTTGTTATCCCACTTCCACTGCTATTTAAAACGAAGTAAAATGAGAGGTAAAAAAATCAGAACATAACCGTGGCATAAATAAATAAACGTTGATTCAACTTAGCCAAATTACACAACAGCTTTCCATATCGTCTACCCTTCGTAAATTCATCGCTTTATTAGACTGCTTAACTGATGACCATTAATATTAGAGAAAATAGGGAAAACAACTACAGTTTATTTGAAATGAATAAATGAAGGAATATGGTTATAAGATACAACAAAAAATTACTAAAAAAAAAGGAACAAAAATAATCATTTAAGTAAGAGTAAGTATATTGAAAAGAAAAAAAAAATTGATGAAAACCAATACTGCATATGTATCCTGTTTTGTCATTGATACGGGACGAAGTGGAGGTACCAAAGAATGATGACCAAGGATGAGGAATGAGATGGAAAAAAGCAGCAGCAGCAACAGCAACAGCAGTAGAACATTACCATCAGAAGCATAAGGAAACAAA